GAACTAAGCTGGAAAAATAAATATAAAGGTCAATTAAATTATAAAACATGTTCTCCTTTATAATTTATTTGGTGCATTTCAAATGTATTTATTTATGTAAAGGTTAATTTATCTATTTCTGCTTTTATTTCTAATTATGTCAGTTTCGGGTCTCCATACTGCAGAACATGAAGAGGCAGTTCAGTGACTGAATCAGGAGTTATGGAGCAGGGAAACATGTAAAACATGCAGGGCTGCGGCCCTCAAAGACCATGGTTGCCCACCACTGCTTTAAACATGTTCTCTTTCTAATAAGTGTAGTTTAGAAATCTAAAATAAATTTTGGTCTTTTTGATTTTATTTTCAACCTTATAGAGAACATTGTTTTAAAAAAGTTGGAAAATTCAAATTATATTGTGAAACTATTGAAACAGATGAATGTGAATGGTTTTAAAAAAACTTAGTCACGTAGTTCCCTTCTCATACAGTGACAGATAGGCAGCAGGGCCATCATGTATAAACAGTGCACAGAAAGCTAGCGTATGCTCCTTTTCATGCAAAACTTCAAATGTATCAAGACTGAAATGAGCGTGGACATGCTAACTTCATGTCTGGTGTACGCACGTTTCTGTAGTTCTGGGGCCTCATGTATCAACATATGCACAGCTTTCAAACTAAAGTTTCATACTAAAGTTTTATACTAAAGACAAAAGTGAAAAAGTACATACACAGAACTACTCAAATCAAAATGTGCGCACACAAGTTTCTGCTCCTTTCATTCAAACATCACAAAGAATGTGGAACTGAGTTCACGTGAAACACCTCCCCTGACGTCCCTCACTTTAAATTGTCGTGCTTTATCTTCCGGATGGGATGGAGGTGCGTGGGTGTTTTGATGGAGCACACGACAATGGATCTTCTTTGAAGGACATTACTTGCTCCAAAAACAGGCTGGTGTACAATCACAACAGCTGAGTTGATTTGGCCTCTAGCTCTGGCACAGACAGCATTTAGCAGTGTCCATGCAGGGAGCCACGAGTGCCTTACAACTAGTAAAAACTAAAAACTCTAATCTTGCGATAATGTTATCCAAGTGCTGCGTTGCATTTACAGACAAAACTAGGTTCAGAAAAATTGAAACAAAATACAAAACCATAACAGCAAACTGCACTACAAAATGTAAAACAGATGCAAGTATGTCCAGTGTGACTGTAACTACTGAAACAAAGGAATTTAGGGGTTGCTACAACTTAAAGCTTTATTTTTAAATAGTTGATGTGAGGAAACTGAAGAGACTTCTATTTCTGAATCACACATATAGAGATAAAGTAAAAAACTACATACACAGAATTATTCAAATCAAACGGTGCACACGCATATGTTTCTGTGCTCCTTTCCTTCATACATCTCAAAGAACATGGACTTGAGTGCATGTAAAAAAAACAGAGAGCAGGCAAAAACTAAACAAAAAAAATATTTATTTTGCAAATAAAAATGCTGATGGTGCAGCAAACTCACTAAAACAAAACTGCAACATGGAGGACACTGTCAAAGAGACAAACCAAATGACCCAAGAGGGGAGTGAAGACAAGTTAGCAAACAAGTACACAATAGATGGTATTCATTGATGTCATCATCCGGGACTTTTTTACCCTCCGAACCCTGTTCGTGGGCTACTATTTAGCTTGTAGCGATAAAACCAGTATGGGAGAACCACAAAACCAAGGGAGGAAAAATGCAAAAAGGCCTCTGAACGACACAGACAAGCATGACCAGGATAATAATAGTTTGTATTTAAAACGTGCCTTTCAGGGCACCCATGGATCTGCTGAATAATAAATCTAAATCAAGGTATTTAGCTTTATTGAAAGTAACGATCCTTACGAGCTGCTGAAGTCTGCAGAGCCGACACACAGGCTGTGTTGACATGACTCTGTGTGACTTTCTCTGATATTATTAGTAACTATATCTTACATACTCCAAATGGGTAAATACTGCATAATAAGGAGCTTTTTGTGATTATAATCTGATGCTGTCAGCGTATCCTACGTTCGTGTTTACAAGAGTAGATTGCATAATATTCCAAACACTTTTCTGTTCACAGTGTGCTTTCAGTTAATTAACATACTATGTGGTCACTAACCATGGCAGGAGTGATCTGAACTCACTCTGGAATCCCGAGGAGGGTGAAATCTTTGTAGTTGATTATCGCCAGTCACAAAACCATGTTTCTTTGGTGACAGTTCTACTTCTTCGTGTTTTTACGCTGTCGTTTTTTAAGAGCGTCTCTCTGCCACACGAGCAGCAACGTTTTTGTAACTAACTGGAACGAAAATTTGCTCCATGACTGTTAAAACAACTTATAATAGAAACATACTACATCAACAATCTAGACTGTATTCATTTCTGTGCTGTAGACAAGCATTTCCCAAAAATGGGGTCGGGACCCAAAGTGGGGTCCCGAAACATCAAGGTGGGGTCCTGACAAGATTTTCTGAATTAATTACGTTTTTGCCTTAGTTGTTACAAATGAGTGAGGTTAGTGTATTTAAAATGGATAAATGTAGTAT